AACAAGTTTTTGATCTTGTGATAGTCAAAGGCTATAACAAACACTTCTCCCAACATTGCAAAGATTACTCTCAGTTGTTCATTCATGCTGCTTAGCTGCCTTGAACAGTTCTCATCAAGAATGTATGTTCTGCAGTATTAAAAATGTTCCTTTGACCGGGCTCGGTGGCTCAGCCTGTAAATCCCATGCTTTGGGAGGCCGAGGTGAGTGGATTACCTGAGCCCGCGGGTTCGAGACCCACTTGGGCAACTTGGTGAGACTTCATCTCTACAAGTGGGTGTGGTATTGCGCGCCTGTAGTTCCAGCTACTTGGAAGGCTGAGGCAGAAGGATCACCGGAGCCCAGCAGGTGGAGGTTGTGGTGGCCGGGATGCGGCCACTGCACTCCAGTCTGGGTGACAGAGTGAGACTCTTACTCAAAATAAATAAATAAATAAATACACATTTGGAGATTACAGAACTTGGGAGATGCCTGTAGCTGGAATTTGGCATAAAATATATTTTGTTAACTATTAAATGTAAGTTAAACTTGACTTTTTTTGACCTATGATATCAGTACTCCTGTGGTGTCATCTGTGTGCATTGTCACCTGATAGTGATATATCTTATTAGAGTTGATATTACTTTTATTCACTTGATTAAGTTGCCTGCTGACACATTTTTTTGTATAATGTATTTTTTTTTGAATTGGAGTCTCACTATTCTTGTCCAGGTTGGAGTTCAGTGATTACCATGCATGTTAATTTTTAATACTTTACTGTAGAGACGAGGTCTCACCAAGTTGTCCAGGTTGTTTTCAAAACTTTGTACTCAGACAATCCCCTCACCTTGGCCTCCGAAAGTCCTGGGATTACAGACTTGAGCCACCATACTTGGCCTAATTTTTTGATTATTAATACTTGGTGAAGTAAGCCAAGCATCATCATATTTAATCTGGAAGGTCTCTATTCTTAGATTCTTTTTTTTTTTTGAGTTGGAGTCACAATCTGTCACCCAGAATAGAGTGCAGTGGCTGCTCCTGGCCACCGCAGCCTCCACCTGGTGGGCTCTGGCAATCCTTCCATCTCAGCCTTCCAAGTAGGTGGAACTACAGGTGCATGCTACCACACCTGGCTAATTTTTGGATTTATTGTAGCGATGAGGTCTTGCCAAGTTTCCCAGGGGTGTCTCAAACCCACGGGTTCGGGCAATCCACTCACCTCAGCCTCCCAAAGTGTGGGATTAGGGGCTGAGCCACCGAGCCCATCTTTAGGTTGTTTTAGAATATAGCTTGCTTTGAAAAATGAGGGCTCTTTTCTTTGAGGTCGGTAAGGTATGATGGTGCTTTTGCTGCCTTCAGTCATGCTGGCAGAGTGGTGGCAGAGCCTGCCGGAATATCACTAACTTCCTCAAGGTGTAACAAAGTCTATGTGCTTGGAAGGCGTATGAAGGTGAAAAATGTTTTCCTAAGACTTGTTGTAGAAAGATAGCTGTGAAAAAGGTACGAGGAACACCACTGAAGCATATAGGTGGCTGCTGATGAATGACCTTTGAGCTGTTGTTTTTAAATGATTACATTGCCCCAAGTGTGATATGAAACAATTTGGAATGAAAAGTGGACTTGTTCAAGAAAAACAGATTGACAAAATCAAATAATAAAAGTTGTTTCTTTTAATGTTGATAACTCCATAATAAATTACAGATAAATTAATTAACGTGGTCCCCACTTACTCAGAATGCTTATGTAGAGGATTTCTTGAGTCCATAGGTTGAGACTGCAGTGAGCCATAATCGTGCCACTACATTCCAGCCTGGGTGAGAGTGAGACCTACTTTAAAAATAAATATACAGCTGATAGAAATTGTCTTAAATACTTAAATACAATATCTTTAAAGACTAGGGATAAATTGAAGTATTTTCCAAACACAGAAACATACCTGAGAGATTTGATTACCAATAACAGCTTCTCTGGAGCACACTTTAAGAAAAAAAGACATTCCTTTATTTGATGATACAGTGAAAGTGAAGAGTAAGATAAAAAATTAGCCGGGCATGGTAGCGTGTGCCGGTAGTTCCAGCTACTTGGAAGGCTGAGGCAAAAGGATCGCCGGAGCCCAGCAGGTCGAGGCTGCAGTGGCCGGGAGCATGCCACGGCACTCCAGTCTGGGTGACAGAGTGAGACACCAAGTCAAGAAAAAAAAAAGAAAAGAAAATACACGGAGAAACCAATGGAATACAAAGTTTAAAAGTAGACACAGATATGGAAATGCATTGCACGATGAAAGAAACAGGAGTGGAAGAGCAGATGTGGCCTTGCTATGTCCCCCTGGAGACTGACACTCACACATGTGCAGAGACTTTGTCTTCCAGTGTGTTTGCTTCCTGCAGGTCTTCCTGTTCACCCAGAGGGGTGACTGAGCCCTTCTAAGTGATCAGAGTATTGGGATCAACGTCTGTGCAATGTGAGTCCTTTAGCACAAGTCAGTTCTGATAAAAGAGTAACTAATATAATATGCAACAGACAGTCCATCACCTTTTAAGTTAGTGATAGATAATGTTCTGAAAATGAGGTTGTTCTGCCATTAATTATTTAGGAAACAATCCACTCAACTCAGCCTCCCAAAGTGTGGGATTACAGGCTAAGCCACCGAGCCTGGCTCTCTTTTCTTTTTTTTTTTTGAGTTGGAGTCTCACTCTTGTCGCCCAGATTGGAGTGCACTGACACACTAACGACCACCGCAACCTCATCCTGGTGGGCTTGGGTGATCCATCTGCCTCAGTTTTCCAAATAGCTGGAACTACAGATGCTTGCCACCATGCCTGGTTATCTCAGTGTGTTTTTCCCATCACACTACATTACTTTCCAAATTCTTCTCATATTCAGTGTCACCCAATCTTCCTCTTCAGACTCTTTTAAGAGTTGGAGTCTTACTCTCCTGCCCATGCTGTAGTGCAGTGGCATGCTCACAGCCATTGCAGCCCTAATTGCTGGGCCCAGGTGATCCTTCTGCCTCAGGCTTCCATGTAGCTGGAACTACAGGAGTTGTGCTACCATATCTAGCTCAGTTTTTATTTATTGTAGAGACAATATTTATTTGTTGAATAATACAATATTTATTTATTGTATTATCCTCATCAAATTATACAGGCTGGTCTCAAATACCTGGGATCAGACAATCTTCTCGGAGTGGCCTCCCAAAGTACTGGGATTGCAGACTGAGCCACTCTGCCTGGCCATTTCACAAAAAAATTAATGTTCTCTTCAACCATACTGCTTATTTGTCATAAATCATTCTCACCATCAATGTATGACCTGCATTATTTAAAATGATCCCTTGTTACTGGGGGTCATGGGAAGTCATGGTAACCAAGAATCCCATTGGAAATTGGGTAGATCCTCAGATCCTAATGCTGGATAGAAACATGTGTATGTATATATATATATATTTAGTTGTAGTCTTCCTCTGTTGTCCAGAATGAAGTGCACTGTCACACTCATGACCACCAGAGCCCAGTTATTTTTTAATTTATTGTAGAGACAAGGTCTTGCCAAGTTGCCCCAGGCTGGTCTCACACCCAAGTCTTCAGGAAATTCTCATGCCATGGCCTCACAACATGCTGGGATTGTAGGCATGAGCCTCTGTTCCTAGGCAGAACATGTACTGTTAAGGTTCTGTCTAGATGCCCCATCAGCTCCAGGCAGAACATGGTTAATAAAATGTACATGTAAACAGGATAGCAGTTACTGCCCAAATTAGCTCTGGAAAGTTTGAATAAAGAATAATTAGAAGAGATTGGCTTTCTAGGATGTGAAAAACTAAAAATGTAAATACGTTTTCAGAGATTACATGCTATGGCAGATATTTCTAGGCTGATTTCTGTGTAACACGAGCTTGCTTGTTATTAAATTGAAATTATAAATTACTATATTGGATAGGTGTGGTGACTCAGCATGTAATCCCAGCACTTTGGGAGGCTGAGGCAACAGATTTGCCTGAGTCTGTGTTTTGAGAAGAGTTTGGGCATTTGGTGAGACCTTGTCTCTACAGTAAATTACAAAATCTAGCCAGGAATGATTGCTTGTGTGTGTAGTTCTAGATACATGGAAGGCTGAGGCAGAAGGATTGCCTAAGTCCAGCAGGTCAAGGCTGCAGTGGCCATGAGGATACCTCTGCATTCCAGTGTGGGCGAGAAGAGTGAAACTCCAACTCAGAAAGTAATAATAGATTACTATAACTTTTGGCTAAAAGATCTCAAGATGGATGTTGTGTTCCACCTGTGTGCTTTGACATCTGATACCAATTTGTCCCAAATACTTGGGACGCTATGGAGGATGGATCCTTTTAGCGAAGGAGATCAAGACTGCAATAAGGTACAATTTTGCCAGGGCACACTAGCCTGGTTCAGAATGAGACACACCTAGCCGGGTGTAGTAGCACAAGCCCATAGTTACAGCTACTTGGAAGGCTGAGATGGAAGGATCGGCGGAGCCCAGCAGGTCAAGGCTGCGGTGACCAGGATCAGCCATTGCACTCCAGTCTGGGTGACAGAGTGAGATTCAACTCAAAAAAAAAAAAAAAAAATGAGACACACCAACTGAAAATAAAAGCACAGAACCAAAGGCTTAATCCATGTATTCTAGAATTTGCATTTTAACAAGATATTCAATTTATTGTACAAATTAAAACTTGATGGGGACCTTCTGACTCACTAGGAATTTTCCATCGGAGCAGTATATGTAACGTATTCTGTGTGAAATAAACAGCATTTTAAAATGTGCATGCCTGTGTTGGTGTCCAAAATTATGCTGTTTCACTCACAAAAATAGAGAGTTGAAACTGGTTGAGTGGATTTTATTTCATCCTTTTTTTCCCACACTTAATACATTAGAGGATATTTCTGTGTTATAAATTTTCTTATTGATAATAATAGTTGTCTTGTCAGCTGGACTCTGTTCTTTTCACTCTTGCTTTACCTAGAGGCCATGGTGACTTGGTAAATATGTGTTTTTGTTGTTTTCAGAGGCTGTTGACATTCAAGGATGTGGCCATAGAATTCTCTCCAGAGGAGTGGGCATGACTAAACTCCCCTCAGCGAATATTGTACAGGACTGTGATGTTAGAGAACCATAGAAACCTGGTTTTTCTAGGTGAGGATACTTTCAAAACACAATCCTATTTCATACTAAAGATTTTATGTCCTTCCTTTGTAAAATGTTTTCTGCAAATTTCTACTTTGCATGAATGAGTTTCAGATTTCTACTATAAATGAAAAGTTGGTAGTATATTAACATAGAAAATAAAAAAATAATTATGTTTCATTTTGACATGAAGCCCTCTCTATTTTAAATTGACCAATGTCCCTCTAGCTATATTATTGGTAAGTTCAGAAATTTAGTGGCATAGATATCATTGCCCACATCTCATTCCAACTGCTGCCATAAGTTATTGACTCACTAGTAGTGAACGAAGAACTCACAAATTTAAGGCCAGGCATGGTGGCTCAGCCATGTAATGCCAGCACTTTAGGAGGCTGAGTTGAGAGGACTGCCAGAGCCTGTGGGTTCAAGAATAGCCTGGGCAGCTTGGCAAGACCCCATCTTTACACTAAATAAAAAAATTATCTGGGAATGGTAATGCACAACTGTAGTTCTGGTTACTTGGTTGGCTGAGGGGGAAGAATTACCTGAGCCAAACAGGTGAGCACTGGGGTGGCTATGAGCTTTCCACTGCACTCCAGCCTGGGTGAGAGAGTGAGACTCCAACTTAGAATAAAAAGAAACCCATAAATTGAAAATTCTATCTAAATGTTCTAAAAGTTTTATTGGGAAACCGTATTTTGGGGTTAATTATCTAGAATCTTGTATAATGTGTTCTCTACTGATCAAATACTAGGTTTGTAATCTAAGAACCCTGGTAAGAGTCATGTTACTTTTTTCTAATTAAACAGGACTTGCTGTCTCTAAGCCAGACCTTATTACATGTCTGGAGCAAAGGAAAGAGCCCTGGAATGTAAAGGGACATGGCACGTTAGCCAAACTTTCAGGTAAGTGGGAGTGAATGAAGCAGATGTCACAGGTTGAGGAATCAGAGCTTGAAATGTGGTTTGGGAAGGTGATCTGCTGCAAAGAAGTGGTTCTGTAGAAACCTGGGATTCTTTCTCTTCCTGTCACAAAGGGACATCTGTTATTCCACATTCTGAAATTCACCAAAACCTCTGCTTCTTCAATGATCTTTTAAGTTTACAGAGGAAATCATAGTCCACTTAATGGTTTGTTAGGAACTAAATGATCTGACTAACATTCTGATGCTTTGGAGACATGCAAATATTTGCTTATTTATTTGGAAATCCATGTCAAACTATTTTTTATGTTTTCTTTTTGCATCATGGTTGGAAGTATGTGAGCAGTGATTTTATCTGTTTGAGAAATTTTAAGAACACTCCAGACATGTTTTCTAATTTATGATTTTCTATACTAGGGAGATTTCCGATGATTTTATTTAAATTCATACTCAATAGTCTTACCTAAATACAAATTATCTCTTAATAGAAGAAATTCTGTTATTTTACTTAAAGTTTACTTTTATAGTATGATCTGAGACTGGTAGTTTTTCTTTATATCCAAGTATTTAAGTATACTATATTGTGTAGAGAATTGGTAAACATATATTAAACTCCTACATATTACCTTGTGTCTTTATAACTCTTTTTTTAATATTTATTTTTTTATTATGATATTGTGGGGTACTGTTCAGGGTTAGGTATACAAATACATTTTGTTCAGGCACCCTTGTTGATAAGAGGTGTTTCCCCATCCCCAGACAGATATTTGCTGCCATTAATCCCATCTCCCTCCCCCCCCATAGTTTCCCACTACTGTTCATCATTTTCTTATAGTATTACATTGGATGTTCAAGGTCCATTATATGAGTGAAAACATGTGATACTCGGATCTTTGTTTCTATGAGAGGTCACTCAGTATTATAGGCTCTAGTTCCATGCAGGTTAATAACCCTTATTTTATAATTTTCCTTAGTATGAAGCTTAGGACTAGTTTCATATGTGCATATATTCAAACACATGAATGCATGTTTATGGGTGATAAGCATCTTTTTTTATACATAAATAAAAATGTATAACCATATGTTGTAAATAATGTAATAATTTGATATGCCTATATGGTGTGAAATGATGATTACAATTATATTAAGGAACATATCAACCATCTTATGTAGTTGCCATTTTTATGTTTTGTAAGGAGAACACAATGTCTTCTATTTCAGCAAATTTTCTAAGCATACAAGACGTCATTATTAACGATAAGTCACTATAGTACACATTAGTTCCCTAAGACTCAGTTATAACTCAAATTTTGTAACCATTGAAAAACATGTCCATTTTCCCACCTGCAGGACCTCGGGACTACATTGTACTTTCTTCCTCTATGAGTGCAAAGTTTTTTGATTCCACAGGAGTGAGATCATACAGGATGTTTTTCCCCCGAGTTGGAGTCTCACTCCAGGCTGGAATGCAGTGGCATGCTAATGACCACCACAGCCTCATTGCTGGGCTCAGGCGATCCTTCCATATCAGCCTTTCAAGTAACTGGAACTACAAGCATGTGTTGCTACACCAAGCTTATTTTTGTATTTCTCATAGACCCGTGGTCTCACCTTGGTGTCCAGACTGGTCTTGAACCTCTGAGCTCAGGCAATCTTCTCACCTCAGTCTCCCAATGTGATGGGTTTACAGACTTGAGCCACTGTACCCGTTTTCATGCAATAGTTGTGTGTGTGTGTGTGTGTGTGTGTGCCTGGCTCACTTCAGTTAGCATAATGTCTTACAATGTCATCAATAAGGTTAAAACTGCAGAATTCTTCTAAAATTGTTTTGGCTAAATCATATGCTATTGTGTATATGTGTGTGTGTGTGTGTACTTGTTATTTTCTTAATCAACAGAGATTCCACAAATATTTAGGTTGTTTACAAGCTTGGCCATCTTGACAAATGCTGCAATGCCCATAGGTTGGAGACTTCTTTTTCATACTGATTTTATTTCCTTTGGTTATATACCCAGAAAAGGGATTTCTGTGTTATGTGGCAGTTGTTTTTATTTTTAAAAGAATGTTGATAATGATTTTTATATGACTGTACCATTTTTAAACTCACCAAAAGTATACAGGATTTTCTTCACATCCTTATCAAAAGTTCTCTCTCTATCTTCTGGTTGATATTAGCCATTCTAACAGCTGTGAGACAATATATCATCATTGTGTTTCTTTGAAATTTCCTCTATTGGTGCTGTCCAGTGCCAATTCATATACCTGTTGGCAATTTGTATGTCCTCATTGGAAAATAGCTATTCATTTTTGGGTTGTTTTTTATTCAAGTGATTATCATTTTCTTGCTTTAACATCTCATCAAGTATATGGTTTGCAAATGTTTTTTCTTGTCCTTAAGCCTTCTTCCTTTTCCCTTTGCTCTGCAGAAGCTTTTCAGTTTGATGTCTCCAACTTGTTTATATTTATTTTTATTTCTGTAGTCATAAAAAATTATTACTAAGATCAATATCAAGAATGTTTTCCAAATCCTTTGTATGATTACATTTTATCAGCATGGTCTCTGACACCCAGGCAGTAGTGTGGTGGCTCAAGTAAGGGTTTCTACATTTCATATGAAAATTTCTCAAACTTTTTTTGTAATTCACTGCTCCACAAATTATTGTTGTACCCTTAATTGAGTCATTTAACCTGATTCTTTCTATGCTTTGGCATACTTTGATTGAATTGGGGTATTTGAAATTCAAAGATATACATGTCATAATTTTATGATGTTGCTTTGTCTAGATTAATATAACACCAATCACTAAGTTAGAGATTCTAGGAGACTCATGCTTGTTCTTAGGATGTGTCTTCTCTGTACATTGGGACAGAAACCAGTCTTTGCATACACCCTCAAAGGACAGAAATGTGGACTCATACTCCACTCTTCTGTTTATTCCCTGAGGAAGAATTCAAGAGTTAGAACATCCTATCTGATTGCATCATGCTGTATTGTAAAGGAAGAAAAATTATGGTGGCAAAATTACTAAACCTTCTCTTCCATGTAACTCATTTTATCATGTGGATTCTGCAAAGTCTTAGTTTTTTTTGAATTCTCACACAGGCAATGGGGTAAGTATTTTCTTTTTTTGTTTGTTTTGAGTTGGAGTCTCACTGTCACACAGAGTGGAGTGCAGTGGCTTCTCCCAGCCACCGCAGCCTCGACCTGCTGGGCTCTGGCATTCCTTCCACTCAGCCTTCCAAGTAGCCAGAACTACAGGCGTGTGCTACCATGCCCAGTTAATTTTTTTATTTTATTGTAGAGATGAGGTCTCTGCCCAGGAGGGTCTCGAACCCGTGGGCTCAGGCAATCCACTCACCTCAGCCTCCCCAAATTGAGGGATTACAGGCTGAGCCACCAAGCCCGGCTACTATTTTCTTAAGTACATATATTTATGATAGAGTGGAAACCTGTGATTTGTATGTGCCATCATACTTATGTCCTTACCATGGTATAATATCATGTTTTATTTTCAGTGGGTATTCACCTGAGTCTAGCATGTGGGATAAATTATTATTTTCATGATTCTCAGCTGTGATTTCTCATTACACTGAAGGCCTTTTGCCAGGGAAGAGCACAGAAGACTCACTTGCAAAGGTGCCAATGGGAAAATATGGTAAACACGTCTATAAGAACTTATGCTTACAAAAGTCTTGGGAAAGTGTGCATGAGGGTGAAGGGCAGATAGAATGCTCAGTTGCAAATAGCCATTACAAATGTAACAAGAGTAGGAAAGTCTTTCATCAACCCTCCAAATTTGTTATCCACCAGAGTATCCATATTTCTAAAATGGCTTTCAAACATGAATATGGCAAAACGTTTAACCGGTCCTCAAAGTATAGTCAACATCAAAAAAATAGTGGAGGAAATATACACAATATATGTGGGAAAGTGTTTAAGAAATCATCCTATCTAAATAGACATGAAAGAATCCATAGGAGAGAGAGAGCCTTGAAAAGTAAGAAATGTGGCAAAGCCCTTAGCTATTACTCATGTCATTCACAACATCAGAATATTTATTGTGGAGAGAAACTCTATAAATTGTGAAGCATGTGCAAAGCCTTTCATTTTCATTTGTATCTTACTCAACATACAGTGATGCATACTGGAAAGAAACCCTACAAATGCGAAGAATGTGGGAAAGCCTTTCGCTCTCAAGGAGAATTTGCTGGACATAAGACCATTCATACTGGAGAGAATCCCTATAAATGTGCAGAATGTGGCAAAGCCTTTCACATTCATTCATATCTTACTCAACATGCAGTGATCCATACTGGAGTGAAACCCTACAAATGTGATGAATGTGGCAAAAACCTTTCACACTCGTTCACACCTTACTCAACGTAAGATAATCCATACTGGAGAGAAAACCTACAAATGTGAAGAATGTGGCAAAGCCTTTCACATCCATGCATACTTTACTCGACATACAATGATCCATACTGGAAAGAAACCCTACAAATGCGAAGAATGTGACAAAACCTTTCGCTCTCAAGGAGAATTGACTGAACATAAGACCATTCATACTGGAGAGGAGCCCTATAAATGTGCAGAATGTGGCAAAGCCTTTCACACTCGTTCACATCTTACTCAACATGCAGTGATCCATACTGGAATGAAACACTACAAATGTGAAGAATGTGGCAAAGCCTTTCACTCTGGTGGAAATCTTACTGAACATAGAATGATCCACACTGGAGTGAAACGCTTCAAATGTGAAGAATGTGGCAAAGCCTTTCAGTGTTCACATCTTACTCGACATATGGTGATCCATACTGGAGAGAAACCTTATAAATGTGAAGAATGTGGCAAAGCCTTTCATGTTCGTTCACTCCTTACTCAACATACTATGATCCATACTGGAAAGAAACCCTATAAATGTGAAGAATGTGGCAAAGCCTTTCACATTCGTGCAAACCTTACTCAACATACAATGATCCATACTAGAGAGAAACCCTACAAATGTGAAGAATGTGGCAAAGTCTTTCAAGCTCATTCACACCTTACTCGACATACGGTGACCCATACTGGAGAGAAACCCTATAAATGTGAAGAATGTGGCAAAGACTTTCACTTTCATTCAAACCTTTCTCAACATAAGCTGATTCATTATTCACAGAAACCCTACAAATGTGAAGAATGTGGCAAAGGCTTTACTCAGTACTCGAAGCTTATTGAACATCAGAATATTCATATTGGAGAGAAACCCTACAAATGTGAGGAATGTGGCAAGACCTTTCACTCTCACTCTGGATTTTCTTGACATAAGATCTTGCATACTAGGGAGAAATCCTTACAAATGTGAAGAATGTGGCAGAGCCTTTTGCTCCCATTCAAAGCTTGCTGGACATATGAAGGTGCGTACTGGGGAGAAACTATAAGTGTGAAGAATATGGAAATGCCTTTTGTTCTCACAATAACTTTACTGGACATAAGATGATCCATACTGCAGAGGAACCCTACAAATGTGAAATATATTGAAAAGCTTTTCACTCTCATTCACTACTTGCTCAACATGGCAGATCCATACTGTTGAGAAACCCTACAAATGTGAAGAGTGTGACACAGCTTTTTATACTCATGGAGGATTTGCTGGCCATAAGACCATTGATACTGGAGAGAAACTGTACAAATGTGAAGAATGTGGCCAAGGCATTGACTCTATTAAGGATTTGCTGGACATAAGACCATCCATACTGGGCAGAAATCCTACCAGTGTAAAGAATATGGCAAAACATTTCACTCACAATGGATTTGCTGGACACATGACCATCCATGCTGGAGAGAAACACTACAAATGTGAAATATGTGGAAAAACTTTTCACTCTCATTCACTACTTGCTTGACATGTCAAGATCCATACTATTGACAAGCCTTACAAATGTGAAAAGTGTGGCAAAGTTTTTCACACTCATAAAGGATTTGCTGAACACAAGACCATTCATAGTGGAGACAAATCTACAGATGTGATGAATGTGGCAAAGCCTTTTGCTCTCAAATGATTTGCTATACATGTGAGGTGCCATACTGGAGAAAAACTCTACAAACATGAAGAATGTGGCAAAGTCTTTTGTTCTCATAAAGTATTTACTGAACATAAGTCTGTTGATACTGGAGAAAAAGGTTACAAATGTGAAGAATGTGACACAGCCATTCACTCTCGCCATGGATTGGCTGGGCACATAATCATACACAATGGAGGGAAACTCTACAAATGTGAAAAACATGGTAATCCATTTGCTCTCATCTACAACTAGCTGGACATACGAGAACCCATACTAAGATGAAACTATATAAATGAGAGGAATGAGATAAAGACTTTAGCTCTCATTCAATATTTGGTTGACATATGAGCATCTATATGTAGGGATTCCCTATAGATGGGTAGAATGGGGTAGACCTTTTCACTGTTATTCCAAGTTTTTTCAACATCAGACAACTTATACTCTAAATTTTCAGTATCTCTAATGACTGGAAAATCATCTATCTAGTTATAAACAATAGAGACATGGTAAGAAATTTACAGATGTAAAGAGTACCGTTATCTTTACTCAAACCACAGATCTTTTGAATGTACAAATGTAAAATATGTCTAAAGACATTAACCAGCAAAAACTTTATTTGACATTAAACTGTGCATTGTAGAGAATCTACAAATTTAAAGAATGTGGACTGGCCTTTTTTCAAAATATATGTCATTGGAAATACTAGGTTATTCAGACTGAAAACATTAAAGATGCAATTTATAGGGAAGCTTATTTACTGAAAGGTCAAGTTGAAATAAATAACAAATATTGAGTGGCATTAGAAGATGGTTTGTTTGTTTTTTAGGAAAGCTTAAGTATATTCTCTGTATAATTTTGGTTTTACATTGACAGAATTTGAGGATATTTCAAAAAGCACACAATATTAATGTAACACAACTCACATGATGCTATGTCCTCATTTGTAGTGTTTATGTAAAGACATGGGGTCAGTTGTTGGTACGTTAGAGCTATGAAATGTCCTTGTATAGTAGCTCATCAGCACTCATCACATGTCTTTCATGGAGGATGAAGAACACTGACATGTAATCTCCTTTAAATCATCGAAGGGAAGAAGTTTTCTTGTGGCTCACATTAAGCATTATTGTAAGTTCGGAATGAGGTGAGTGCTCAGGTTAACATTTTTCTTTGGAAATAAATGACAAAGAGTCATTGAGAGTTTTAGAAATCATTTGTCTTACTACTTAAATGCAAATGAGAAAATGAGGCCAGAACATTCTATCTTCATATTACCAATACTTACAGGCTATAAGTGTAATTTGATATAATATAAAGCAATATTTTCATAGACATCAGAGCAAAGATAATTACTCTCTTAAAATGTATATATGATAAGTTTATGTTTAGTAAATAATCAGATTCAGTTTTTAAAACTGAAGAAAGCTGTTTGCACATGGATCACACTATCAGAAGAGAAATGCTTGAATATTTGTTATCTGGTTTTACTAGCAAGCATACAGTGAAATTTGAAGGTTTATTTAGGTTATGTAAATTTGTTTGTTTTAATAAACAGAATTGTTTATAAAGTATTAACATTTGTTGTCCACACAATAAATTGTTATGTTGCCATAAGTGTTAATCTATTTTACCCAAGATTATATGTATATGATGACCATATACTATTGAGTAACTTATGAAAGGACGTTTCTAGTGATTTTTTTTTATAAAAGTCATATTGTCTTCCTTTTTTTTTTCTTTAGTTATGTGTCACTTTGATTGTTGTAATAAAGATTATACAGGAACATGATTATAAGACCTAACTTTCTGAATACTGACTATTGTAAATACTTATATATTAGGTTGGATTTTGACTCTGATGCCTGGGCTGCAATACAGTGGAAAATCCACAGTCACTGCAGCCTCAACGTGATGGTGTTAGGCCATTTTTCTCCTATAGCCTTCTGAGTAGATCATACCACAAACCTTTGCCATCATGCCCAGCCAACTATTGGATTCATTATTAAGACAAAGTCTCACCAAGTTGCTCAGGCTGGCCTGGAAGCTGTAGACTAAGGCAGTCTGCTGTACTTTGCCTCCCAAAGTGTTGGAATTATAGGAATGAGTCACCACACATGCCCAGTTTCTTGTTTCCTTTCCAGTCATCTGGCACTGTCTTGGAACCACTTGTCCCCTCAAGTCATCTGCCTCTAACTCCTGTGGAGTGGGTTCTGGGCTCTGGAATATCTTCAACATTTATTATCTTGATACCCTTCCCTTTCCACTCTTCCATAAATACAATTATTCTTTGTAATTTCCTTGGTTCACTCTGGAGAGACCAAATGCTCATATAGAGAGATTAACATTACCTGGTGTGTGAAACATAATCTCACAACACTTGCATTAATCACCTGGCAGCAGGAAGTGGTCACAAAATTATTGAATGATACACTTTGTGTCATAGCTAATTTCATGCCCTTACGAGTTAATACTGTATCTTTACATTTATTTACACATTTCCCAACAGCTGATGGTGTCATGTGTACCCTGTAAGTGCATAAATTATGTTTACCTTTTTATGATAGATTTGTATATCTTTATGATATTAAATGTCAAAATAGACAGGAATATACTTCTATCTGATGGCCTCATGACATTTTTAAAGTATATTTCTAAGCTATGGTTCTGCACGTTTCTTTTAAATGATCACAAATTGTCAAAAATGAATTTCCCAGCCTGTAATCCCATGCTTTGGGAGGCTGAGATGAGTGGATTGCCTGAGCCCATGGGTTTGAGACTCACCTGGGCAACTTGGCGAGACCTCATCTCTACAATACATTAAAAAAATTTGCTGGGTGTGGTAGCGTGCGCCTGTAATTCTGGCTACTCGGAAGGCTGAGGCAGAAGGATCGCCAGAGCCCAGCAGGTTGTGGCTAAGGTGGCCGGGAGGAGCCACGGCACTCCATTCTCGGTGACAGAGTGAGACTCTGACTCAAAAAAGAAAAAACGTGGACCTATGCAGGTCGAACCCATGTTCTTCATGGTCTTACAGTACAGTGAGAAAAATAGATGTGGAAATAACAAGACAGTATAATCTTGACTAACCCTATTTGGAAAACAGTCAAGCCATCATAATTATGAATATAATAAATCAA